TCATAAGAAATCTGGAGGTGAAACCTTCACTTTAAAGTTTTACTCCTCCCATCTCTCTGGGCTCTCTGCACTAGCGGGTTCCAGTGTTGTTACCAGCTTCTGATGGTTTCTCTGGTAGTCTAGAGTTCCCAAACCACGACGTGTGTTTGTATGCATATCAAATGACCTGGAAACTGCTTCAAGATGATGTTTAAAACTTGCACATTATCTAATTTGCATGTTTTTCTACGGGAGATTTGAAGCAGTTGGGGTAGTCTGTGCCCCAAGCCCAGTTCTGGGCAGACCTGAAGCGAGGGTGCTGCTTGTCATCCCTTGCCTGGGATCATGGGCTACTGAAAAATGGTGCCCAAAAGGCTGCAGAACTTTTAAACATGAATAATCTTACATTGTTCTTTTTGTGTCCGTTTCCACCTTTGAGCAGTTTGCTACTAAAAAGTTTTACAAAAAACTGCAAATATTTCCTCTTGTGTCACTTTCAGTAGCTGTTAGGGAATGGGAATGCATTTTCATTAATGGAGCTGGAGGCAGGTATTGATTTGGAGCATTGTGGCTATCTATACGTGTATTGACATCTGCTGTTCTTTAGTTGCTGTTGTTTATTCAATTCCAAACAAAATCACTGCTTATGACTAATCCTATCCCAATATACTATTGGTATCATATTAAATTTTGAGGGGAATTTATCCCAGAAAGTAGTGCAGACTCTCTAAATGAACTAAGTTAAGCCTATATAAGAGCAATAAGATAAAAAAAAAAAGCCACAACAAACCTCAGAAACAGCACCTTGAGGTTAATTAAGTTTTTATTTAGAGTTCCTCACTTGGCAATTCTTAGAGGTCTCACAATGCTGTCTCCAGTGGTTTTTCAGCAGTGAAAGGCAGAAAGTTGCATTAAAAAAATGCCAGCTCTGCAGAATGAAGAGCAGTTGGCCTGAAGGCAGAAGAGAGGCTGAACCAAATATAAAGGGTTCTTTCTTTCCTCCAGTTCCTCAGTTTAGATTCCGTGTTGTCATCTGTGTTCAGGTAAACAGTTGACTGAAACTTTGATCTTGATGAAATTGGAGAAATGGGAATTTCACCTTGTAGTTCTGGTATTCATTTTTAATGCTAGTTTTATCTTGAGGTTTTTGAACATATTTGCATGGGTGATCATGCTTGTGAGTGACAGTGTCCTGAAGATGCACATACAAGGAGCCTTGTCTATGCTACTCTGTTATTTTTAAAATGTTTCCTGGTGAGTCTAAGTTTGTATTACCCACTCTTCATATTTGGTGCATGTCTAGCCAAGAATCAGTGAAATTCCCCTGATACAGATTTAGTTTTCTAAGATGCCTTATATATCAGAGGCTCCTTTTAAAGTCTGGAGTAGAGATTTAAAACTAAATGCTTGCTTCTGCAGCCCTTAATTTCAATGTCAATGATGGTAACAGCGGAAATAATTAGTGCCATTTCCTCTGTCCCCTTTACAAGCTTAAGAAAAATCCATGTCACTAATTTGTTTATATAATACATTTTGCAAACTAATTTACTAGATGCAGTAGTACAAACAATCCTTTAACTAGCATTATAGATTAAAGGAGGGATTCTGCCACCTTTATTCGTATTAAGTTATGCCCTATTTTGCAAACAGTTCTTTTGGTTTTAATAGGACCACTGCAAGAGTAGGATTCCACTGAAGTAGAACCTGTTTGTTTCCTTTGGGATTTAGTTGTACATTGTACCATTTTATGCTCTCTCATATAAGTAGCTGTGTATAATTAATGGAAGTGTGAGTTTCTTAGGAAATATAATCATCTCATTTTCCCGAGATTGCCATTCAGCTTGCTTCTGTCCTGTCTTTCTTGCCAACAGATACTTTGTTTCTTCATTTACATGTAGAGGAATAGAATATGTGTGTTAAAAAACCTTGACAGTAAAAGAATCTGAAAGAGGTAAAGAAAGCAGCCAGGTATGAACTGTAAAATCAGTGAAGGCAATAATAGCACATTTTCTAGCCCTTCTCCCCATATTTTATTCATTGTTTTGGAATAACTTCTATAACAGCAAGATTCACGGGAAGATAAATTCATTTCCTGAAGACCGTATAAGCCAGATATTCAGAAATGTAAGTTAAAGTTGCTGCCAAACCCAGGAAGTAACCAGGAAACATAATGTGTAACAATTAAATTAAAAAGTAAATGGGCACTAAGGTGTCAGAAAAAATCAGTTGCTTTTCTGTGATTTAAATGAAAATTTTAATGAAGGTTATAGCCTTCTGTCTGTCATATCTTAATTATTTCATTCTGGAAAGTCATTAACATGAATCAGAGTAAGCAGGAGACTGCGTAGTCAGCCCAAGATTTAAAAGTGACATTTTTTTAATAATGTCATGAGATATTACCCTAATAACAAAAAGGGTCTTTTCTGACAGCTTTTCTTAAAACCAGGTTTTCCAGTGAGCAAGAGACCCAATAAATTTATTTTCTTTGTAGTTTGCTTCTACATGCTCTTTTCTCTGTTCCTTGCTTTTTTGTCAGGGCAGTTCATGTCCATGCCCTTACTGGTTTAGACTTGCAGATTTCCTGATTACCGTGCTGGTTTTTTTCTTGAATGAATAAGAGGATTAATTTTAATTGTTATTCTTTCAATAAAGACATTTGAGGGCTCTTTTTTACCCAACAAACATTGGTCACAAAACTTAGACCTTCTGGGGGCCAGTTAGCTCAGTCGGTTAGAGCGTGGTGCTGATAACACCAAGGTCGCAGGTTTGGTCTCCATGTGTTGCCTGATCTAGTTGAGAGGTGTCCCTGCCCATGACAGGGAGGTTGGATTAAATGATTTCTAAGGTCCCTTCCAGCCCAGGCCATTCTATGATTCTATGGTATGTTCAGAAGCTTCACCTGCTGTTATATTTAATTGCTCTTTGCCAAATATATCAAAAGTTACAGGTAGGTAGACAAATGGTTTGTTTTTGTTTTTTTTTAAATGACAAATCTCATAAGTGATGTTTTCTTAAGAATTATTATTGGTTTAAGTAACTAAATATGTCCCTAAAATTGTCTAACTCACTGTATGTTCTGTTATGCATTTGGTGGTTTTTTTTATTGTTACATTTTTGTGTGGTCGTTAAACACATTGCATGTGCATTTTAAATATGGTATTAGTTGTATTCCTTTGAAATAACTTCTTTTTGAAAGACCAATATCCTCTGAAAACAAGTCTTTGTATAAATTGGTTATTGCTTTCTGAAAGCAATGTAAATTGTTTTAGTTACTTACACTATTCCAAAAGGGTGTAAGGAAGAAAACGTTCACAAGTATTTTAGGAAAAGTAGAGAATATGGCCCTAATCATATCATTAGTACAACAAGCTACTGCAGCCATGGATGTGTAATTAGTTACATGAAAATACACTTTCATTTTATCGGAGACTAGGAGAAAATACTCTCCTCTTCTTTCACATCTCACTTCAGTCCTGTAATAATTTCAACTCTTGTGTTTGTTTATAAATTCCAAGTTTCGTTCTTTCCTATGAAGATAAACTTAAGAGAATGTCAGTCATATTTATGGGCATGTATTTTCCATGCCCATTAGCTAATGTTATCCTAGAAATAATACTCAGCCTTGTGAGCCTGAGAGAAATTAACCAATTTATTGTAATTTCTCTGCAAAGATTTGATATTGAGATGGCCACATTATATGAGGCAGCAGCAAACCATAGTCTTGTTCTGTCCAAATGCAGGACTAACATCATCAAATCATTTTAAAATATATTTTGTAGTTGTTTTTCTTTTCATTGCTTAGATGACTACTGGTACAGGGATATAGAATGCTGGTGGCTAATAAGGGCAGTATGACATGCAAATAAAAGCTTGTAAACAGCATAATCCTGATTTTTTTTTAATATATAACAATCTTCTTGTCATATTCAATTATAATTTGCTGGTTATCTGTCCTTCCATGTTAGCCATTATATCACTTATGAAAACAGAAGCACTTAGGTACCTTCACTAATTGCTGTCCCTTTTTTTGATAGAATTGCTGTTGAGCTCCATCTCTGAGTAGCAGTGCAGGAAAGTTCAAGGCTGAGGGCTCTTCAATTAGCCTACAGAAAACATTTGCCTCTATATACTAAAAATTCCAAGGGCTTGTTTTGGTTACATTTTTTTTGTTTGTTAGGCATAGAATTTTCTATTATTCTTGTACCTGCGTTCATAGATATTGACAAATGAACACACATGTATATTCCTACTGTAAGTTTCGTATCTTTGTGGGACCAGGCTAACACCTATGTCAGTGCAGAGGGAAATACAAAATTACTCCTGTGGATGAAAATGAAGAGTTATTCCAGGGAGAGGCCAGTCTTGACAATCTGTGTTTGAGAATGCAATTAGAAGAACAAGGAGTGGCAAGGGAATTTCTCTACAGTAACACGAATTCCTTTGGTGAGTGAGATGTGCTCTCGAGGATTTTTAAAGAGAGAGGAATCTAAAAAGCTGAAATCAAAGGTTTATTTAGAAGTGGACAGCACATCTTTCACTTTTTCTTTTTTCTTCAGTGATGAAACAGGATTATTTGTGATCTCTGTCCTTCGCTGGGGAAAATGAGCTTTACATACTTGTGTTGTGTTTTTTGACAAATTTAACATCAGATTCTTCACCTCCAGCCTTAATCCAGGGCTGTGTAGCTGGTTATGACGGATTCCCTTGGTGCCAGTCTCTCGAGAGGTTTTGTTTTGGATGGGAGTCAGTGGCCACTTGTTTAGTTAATGGAATATAATGTTTTTGAAGTCCTGTCTATAGTCAATGAGGCAACTGGACCTTTAGACATGGAACAAGCTAGAAACAGGATATGATTCCTTATAACTTTCTGAAAACTGTACAAACTATCTGAAAACTCTACATGTATATGCACATCTCGTGTGTTCTGAGGAGTTACTGGCAGTGCGTAGAATGAAACCCACAAAATAGTAAAAATTCAGGGTGAAAGTTAATTTTAAGGGAGAGTCTTGTCACAGTTACAGAAAGACTGCTGTCATTAGCAGGTATTTTATAGAGCTTCTGGTATTTTAAGAGTTGGCAGGCCTTTTAAAATAGACTTTATTAAATAGGATTTATAAGTATTAGGGCAAGACTACTATGTGACAGCACAAGCACTTTACAGTACTTTCAGTTATAAATAGTTTTATCCATGCACTGCTATGTAACTTCTGCAGCACCATAGCTGATATTATGCAATTTAATTTACCTACAAAAGAACATAATATTTTAATAAGACCTTTGATTTTTATGTGTCTTCATTTTAGAAAAAGTATCTGTGCCAGCCTACACACAGGTGCTTAGAGCTGTTTAATAATTGCTTATTCCCATGAGGCTCCTTGACTCTGAAATAAGAACCACCATGGTTAACCCTCATTAAAACAAATAGATTAATTTCTTACTAAAATGAAAGACTGCTCTTTAATCATTCAGCTTCATGCTATTTAGAAAAATGTTCAATTATTAAAGGGCTACTGTAATTTAATGGACTAGAAGGACTCTGCAATTCATTAAATTATATTAAATGCCATGCTTTTTCTTGATACACAAATTATTCACCTTTTTTCTCAAGCTATCTAAGTTTTCATCTTAGTATTGGATATCTATTTCAATCTTAAGGTTGACTGTAAACTTTGAAAATTAAAGTATTTTCTCTGTAAAGTACCAGTGAAAATAACGGTGAGTACTTGTACGAGTCTGTGTTGTAACCTCACAAGCAACGTATCTTGTGAAGTAGAAGTACGGTCTACTTCTGTATTTATACAGCGCAGGGAACGTGTGAGCTGTAGGCATCTCAATAAAGCAAGAAGATCCAGGGGCGGGAGTTGAGGTGGTTACAGCCGTGCGTGTGGTTGCCCAGGGCCAGGCTGCAGGCGGTGCAGGTGGGAGCCAGTGGGATGGGGTGACCCGTGTTCAGGGCCAGGGTTGCTGTTGCTTCACTGTCAGTCATTGTCAGCCAACTGCTTCATCTGAATTTGGACTTTAAAGGATGCTGGATCTAATCAGTTGTTTATTTTAATCTGAGGATTAAATCAGAGGAATACCAGAGAAATGAAGAATAATTAAGAGGAAACAAAGCCAAGTTAAGTGAATGTTTGGTGTTGCGTTTTGTTTATATGATTTCAATTTATCAGATAAACTCTTTTTTTCATTCTGTGGACACGGTTCATATGACCACACTAATTCTTACTGCAGATGTAAACAGAAAAAGATCTCTGAGCTGCCTTATTTACATACTCTGGATGCATCTATGGGTAGAGAGATGCAGTTTTGAAGTGAATGTCTCAGTCATCCCACCTTACTGTAGTTTGGTTCATACCACACATAATCATTTGGTTAATGCAGATTTTTTTTTCTCATTAGAAATATTCCCTGGTTAATAGAGTACCCTTCACTGTAGACTTCTGAAGAAAACTTAGCAGGGTTCTTTTCAAAAATTATCAAGCCTTTACTTTCAGTGTGTTTAGCTTAACAGAAACTATGAGAAAAAATGACATAGGTATGCTGTTCCCACATCTGATGCTTTTAGGTTTCAGGATGTACTTTACATATCTCGGAAAGTTTGGTTTTGTGTGAGACTTATCTATAGAGCTAGGCACCATTTGTGAGTTGTCTAGTTGTGTCTTATATGGATATGGGATGTTTGCTTTCTTCAGCTGCATTCTCCTCTTCCACATGTAGACGGTTGAATTAAATCTATTGTTTTTCTAGGAGTGGACTTTCACCTTTGCTGACAACTCAAGCTATCTTTTTAGAAAAGATGATTCTCTTTAAAATTAAGACTGTCTTGACTATAATAGGATACCTGCCTGTATAATTTTATTTATTATTTAATTCTAGAGTCACTGATAGTTTATCAGTGTATTTTATGATGGAAAATTCCTATAAATAAAACAAAAAGAACAGTTTAGTGTCACAGAAATGTATGAGACATCATAAAGGTGATTGCAATAGTATAGACTGATTGATGGAGGATTTTTTAAATGATTTTTACTTGCCGTCTCTCGTAAGGCTTCAGGCTTCTTAGTAAACAGTGATTTTATGTTGTTTTCTCTTTCATTTCAGCTTTAAACTTTGTACTAGTGACTTTGCTAACTCTCTTTGCAAGTTCCATTCATTTTGATATGATGATATTTTCTGAAAAGATAAGGAATACTGCAACAATATTATTTTTTCAATAGGATAATAAATAACACCATCAAGTGAGGGTGTTTTAGGTTATTTTTTTTAAAGTATGAAGTAGCTGCTTTTTAATAATGCATTGTTTTGATGAGCCACAGAGCATCATATGTTAGTTGTGGGGAAAGAAAGCTGTTGAAAACCAAGTTAAACTGAAAAGGGAAAAACAGGTTTTGCAAAAAGGAAGATTAACAATCAAAACAAGTTTGACATTAACTCTGTTTACATCAGTTATGCGTGTGCTGAAAACAAAAATTTAATGTGCATTTATATTAAGTTTTCCAGAACAGCATTTATGTTTAAAGTAATTTTTGCATAGATTAAATTGTTTTATTCTTTAAATTGAAAATTAGCATTAGTGAGACCAACACAGAGACTTTTTTTAATTTTCCTACAGTATAAAGCTGATATCACAGATATGTATGTCTTTTTAAACATTGTGATTATATAATCCTAATTTTGAAAGCAATTAAATGGCTTTACCCAAGAGGGTATTTCCTGAGAGTTATGATAGTAAAGACGTACTACATTTTCATGATAAAATGTGTGAGCGTCCTTTAAATAAAATTTGTGTAATCTGAAAACTTCACATTGCCTAACTGTCCTATAACTAAAGACAGATAAGTTATTTTTGTTAAAATTACTGGCCCAGATTTTTCACTGAATGGGCTTTTAATATTTTTAAAATTAATGTGGTCACCTATCTGATTTTTTTGTTCTGATTACAAAATAAAAAATAGTTATAGTTTGAGTGTAGTAAAGATGGTTTATATAATGCTTTGCTGGTAGAAATGTTGCCTTTTCTTCAAGCTTAGTAGTTGTTAGAGCTCTTTAACTGTTACTGTGCCTCTCCTTGCAATATTTTCTTTTTGTTTCCTTCTTCCACACATTCTTCTCTGAATGTATATCAAGAAATTTTATTTGGTTCAATTTCCAGTCGGTGGCTACTCTGCCCCAATTTTGTCAGAAAAGTATGTTCTGAAACACTTATATCTCTCTTGCTGAGGATTTACAAATGAACGCTTTTCTCTAAGGCTGAGAAGAAAGTGTTGGTGAGAGAGAAGTGATGCCAGTAATTTTGCTGACTTCATCACATGCAGGATACATATTTCTTACTTGTGCTTCTGTATTACATCTTCAGCTTTGTAAACATGGTGGGTACTTTCTTGGGAAAATATTTTCATTCTGAATAATAGACTCAGTTTCAAAGCAAATGCATTCTTCAATATAAGCAATTAATGTTATTTTCAGATACTCATTTCTAAGTAATTGAGCTTGTTGCAATTTTATTTTTTTTGTTTTAGATCTGCAATTGTAGGGACTCATGTAACGCTGTCATCTTGAATGGAAGCAGAAGGTCCTGCTTCACCCTGGTTTATCTTTTCTCTTCACTGCTCCTGCCAGCATGTATTCATTTTTTCTGATGTGCCAACTCTGATGCTTCTTGGAATCTACTTGCTAAAATGGCAGAAAGTTTAATTGACAAACAGAAAAGCAATACTTTTCTGACGGTTTAGCCATGTGAGTCAGCTCAGGAAGGGTTCGGCATGAGGGAGGGTGTGCAGCTCCACAGCTGGGACGTGAGCAAGAGGAGGGCTGAAGGCAAGAGCCCCCTGAGCCAGCAGAAGTGCCCAGGGAAGTGGTGGAGTCGCCATCCCTGGAGGTGTTAAAAAAAAAAGTGTAGATGTGGCACTTGGGGATGTGGTTTAGCGGTCACGGTGGTGTTGGGTTGACAGTTGGACCAGTGATCGTAGAGATCTTTTCCAACCTTAATGATTCTGTGTTTCTACAGGCAGGGTGTGAGTGGGCTGGGCTGCTCGCTGAGGTGACCCAGCCAGAGGTTCAGTGCCAGCAGCCCAGTGCTTATGAGTGCTACTGCTGTGCCCACCAGTGCGGTGCTGAACGTGGCCATTTGTATACTTAGTGGTTAAGAATGACAGCATAGATCAGCTTAAACCCCCCCACCACAAACTTCACACAGTAAATGTCTGCGATATGGGGACTATTTTTTAGAATGGAAATGTAGGATCGTGGATTATACTGTGCACTTCCTAGAATTCAGTGGTCTCTTTTTTTTTGCTCGTAGCTTGAAGTAAAAATTGCATAAATTTTTGATGTTGTCTGATTGCTTCTTTAGTATTTTGCTAAACAAAATGTTATTTCTGGTGTATTTGCTTTAGAATGTTTTTTAATGATAGTGGAGCTGAGGAGTAGAGGTAGGTCAGAGTACGCTGCTGGGGATTTATTTAGTTATGGAAATGAAATTTCTGGACCAATTGCACACTGGTTTAGTGGAAGTAGATCCTTGTGTATTTTTGTGCATTTCTAAATTACAGTGTCTTGCAGAAACATCTTACTTATTTCAAAATAAGATTTTAATTTTTTTTTTATATTATTCCTTAATTGCAGTTTCTGAAACAGTCTGTCTACACATTTAACTAGTGAGTTTTCTTTTGCATTTGTTTTACATATGTCTAGTTTGTTTGGTTGTTTTTTTAATCTTTATTGAAACTCCTGTTGTATTTCTGCAGCTAAGTAGGTATTTCAAAATGTGTAACAAAATTATTAGTACAGGTTTTCATATTTATATTTACTTGAGCCAAGTATTTCAAAAAATGCAGTTGGAAGAATAGAGGGCAGAAATGACAGAAGATTCCAGCATGTAGTTGATAGTTCTACTCGCTGTCCTTAAATTCTGACTACAGGAAATATTTTTTTCTTTGTCAGTCCTTCAGAGGTGTTCAGTAATAACCAAATCTTGTTTTAGGAGATTCTTTTAAACAAAATTCGTATTGGAGTTAATGCTTGAAGCTTGTGTTTTTATTTC